GGCTTCCACAATACGGTTGCTAATAAGTTTGATATCACCCATTGGGGTGTTCTTTAGTTTTACAGTTAGAAAAGATCGGTTGAGATTAACTGGAATGTATCCAAACAGAGTTTGTTTAAAGAGATAAATGCCTTCAGCTGCATAGTATTGTACTCTGTCCCTTTTCTTAAGAATAATTTCGAGGTAGGTTCTTTTTCCTCTTGAAGTATGAAGCTTTGAATATCAATAACTAATGCGTTTTCGTTCTTTGAATGAATTCTTTGTCTAGGTGAAGCGTTAGAATAGGTTGCTTTTCCACCTTTTAGCTTTGCAAATAGATCTGACTACTGTTTGGGTTTGATATCTCCATTTTGGTTGTTTTGTATTTCAGGTATATCCGATAAAAGTGATTCGGCCGGAGTATTTGGATGCACAGAAGTTGATTGGTCGCCTGTAAACACGTGTTCTCTTTGTTTATTGTTTACACTATTTACGTAACTTGTTGTGTTTGAATGATCTACACATGTTTTTTGTTGACTACAAGAATTTTCACTTTCGCTTTTCTTAGTAGTAGTTTCCTCCTTTTCTACCTGGTTCACCCAGTTTGTATCAGACACATTGAGAGTCAAATCAACAAATACTTCTGTTCCTGGCCTAGAACTATTATTGTTGCTGTTGTTATTGTTGTTGTCAAGTTTTTTGTTATTTTCTTTGTTTTCTTCAGTTTTTGTAAAGTCAAAAACTTTGTCGCTGTTTGAAGAAAGTCTGGCCTTCTTGTTGTTTGGTTGCTTACTCATGTCTAGAGTAGTAAGTTCGTGCTTTCTGGACCCTGGGGTCCTTGTCTTGTTGGAAAAATCAAAGATAAAAAATGAGTTTCTTTGTAAAATTTTGATTTCAAGTGTTTTCCGGGAAGGGAACCCTACTAGTATATTTTATTTATTGAAAATCAACAATTTATTTATCATTATATAATAAAAATGTTTATTGATACATATATATTTATAATTGTTGGTTGATGACATTTTTTCTTTGACTTATATATTAAAAACATATTTTAGATCAAAAGGTATAGAAATATGAACATGTCACTTTGTTTTGGAAAAATACTAATAATTTTGGATCTAGAAAATTAGTAAGACTATTATTATAGCATTGTATTTAGGGATAGAGTTGTTTACAGTATAGAAAAATTAAAATGAGTTTTATAAACATCAGTAACTTTTTTTTTATTAACTTCTAATTTTTTTTAGTTGAATATACTATTGATCAATTTGTAGAATTTATCTACACAAATAGCAAGAATCAACATGAAAAGCGATTTAGAAGGATTGAAGCTATTATCTCATTTTTGCTGCCATCTAATTTTGAATATCCAAATAATCAAATACAAGGTGCTTTAAAAATGTCAAGGTTTTTAAAATATAACAAGTTGAGAATTCATTGCAATCAGGATAGAAACCAGCGAGAACACAAGAAGCTCTGGATGATAGAAGAGGATTATCAAATTATTCCTCTCAATCATATATTAAGGCATGTTTCAATATGGCTTAAGGATATTGTTATGAAGCAAATTCAAATTTAACCAATAAAATTTCGTTATCATCATCCTTCTGAATATATTATTCCGAATCTACCACCTTTGCATAATATAAAAATATTCAAGTTTATGATTGATATCTATAATGGTGATTTTGGAACCTATCGCAATACCTACTACTCATTAGAAGACATCTATATTCAGATAGACAATATGCCTTTAAATTACGAAAACAATTAAAAAACTACTTTTTGAAGGTCATTTTGATAATGCAATGCGTCCTCTACTTCAAAAACTCTATCAGTTGGAAAAAGGCATCATGATGAATATGAATGGAGAATCTGTTTGGGTTATTGCTTCAATTGGGCTAGTATAGCTGATTTATCGCAGGTAGTGATAAGTTTAGTTTAGTTTAAACTAACCAAATCATGATATAGAATCATGAAAAGAAATAGTTTAATTAATATTGTTTAATATTTTAAACCATATTTTACTATATATAAATTAGATTAATCAAATCAAACTGTATATATTTTATTCTAGAGAAACGAACTCAGCAATGTTAAGAAACAAGGCACCTACTACGGATGTCGAAACTGCCTTGTTCAGAAAAATCGGTTGAACGATACTACCTTTGATAGAATATATGGTGCATAGTTTCATTATATCACGCAAGAACTTTTTATTGAATTACAAATGTTAATAAGCCAAAATATGACTAAGTTAGAAATTAAAGAGTTTACAAGACATCATGGCCTTCGATCGAAACCAGGCATTTTATCAACTTTATCTCAAGACCATTATTTACAAACTCCTTATGACACCTACCATGCAGTTGCTAAAAAGATTCAAAGATTGTTAGAACATACTTTTAACTTGTTAAATAAAAATGGGAAAAATCAATTTTTAAAATATTGAAAACATTTTGAAAAGCCTTCAATTTGGCATCATTTGCCTAATCCTATAACTCATCTTAAAAGTTTCATGTTTTCAGACACATTACAGTTATCTATAATAATACCATTTATTTTGAGATATTTTTTAACACCAAACTGTATTACTTTAAATGAGCTTACAGCTTTATGTGACTGATTGTCATCTAATGATCGAAGATGGTCTACCAAACAAGCTATTAATGATATCATCTCATACCAGGTAACTATAGCAGATGGTACAGTATATTGTTTTAAAATAAAGCTGATCTAAAGTGATCTAAACTATCTTCAATATCTACTTATAGAAGAATATAGAGGTATTGTTACATTTTATTGTATAATATTTATATTATATACAGTCAAACTTCTCTAAATGCAGCCACCTAAATGCAAATGCATGTTATCACTTAGGCCCAACAAATATAATAATATAGAATTTTTACCTCTTAAGTGCAATATCTCTTTAAGTAAATATTTGATTCAATTTTTACATATGGCCCTATCACAATACATTTAGAGGTCAGGCCATAGTAAATGTTTTGAAAGCTTTTTAATATATTTCTAATATTTTTTTATGATTCTGTAGCTATTTTCCGATAATTTTGAAAACTTACCAAACCTCTATGTTGATTTTCATTTAGTACAAAATTGCAAAAATTATGCAATATTAGTTAATACAAATTGTATCATTAAAGAAATAGTATATAGACTTTCCAAACAAGCTGTTCTTAAAACTAACCAGAAGAATATTGAATTTGATTTAATGCACCGTACCAACATCTTGCAAGCTATCTGATATTTAATGAATGGTGAAACTAATTATAGATTTAATGAAGTGGCTTAAGGTATATCCTTACAGATCAACGTCTTCAACCTCTTCTCACGGGATAGTATATAACTAAAGACTTATATTCTGAAAACATTTTTGAAGAAGATAATTTCTTTAAAGCAACACAAAGTTAATTTTCATTTTGCATAACCTGATGTTTCAAAATTTCTGTCGATGGTCAGATTTTTTTTTTATATTAATCATTATTAATTTAATTTATGAATTTTCATATTTAAACAATACTAAGTTAAAGTCATACTTGATCACGTGCCAAACTAGTAATAGCTGGTGACTTTAATCTGAGTTAAAGTAGAATTTCTCATAGACTTTTTTTTTGAACTAGATTCTTATTTTTAAAATAATTTGTTATTAATAAAACAATATATATACAGTATATATGAGTTGGTGGGTTATGCAAAACAAAAATTTAACTATAACCAAATGTTGGGTTTATTTTTTAATTTTTTTTTTTTTTTACATTTGATATCTAATAATAATAATACTCTTTAGAAACAGGTATAGTTTCAGAAGACTCCAGAATTTTCAATATTCGAGTTTGACAACAACTAACTAATATTAAAATTCAAAATTTGCGATTAGCAAGTTATATTGTGCTACCTTAAAAAATGATCTTTTTGTAGCTTATTTTGAATATATAACTCATTGTAGATATATTATAACACGCATTATTAAACTTTGCTGATATATTTGATATACGCTTTTAGATGATGATAGAGAATTCTATTCATATATCAAGATTCATATTGGTGATGTTGTAACCATAAAGGAAGAAAACGACGAATTCTATGCTATTGTTAAAGCAATTTTTACTCACAAGTATAATGATGGACATGTGTATGCCTTTGTTTGGATTGATTGGTTAAAAAATACTAAGCATACCGATTCTCTTTTAAGATGTCCAATTTTTAAAAAACAGACTGATTCAGATACAAAATGGTATCTATCAAATTTATCCAATTTCAGTTCTTAATAACATTTCAAAAGTATACTTTGTATACGTATGCTGGTTGTCTTGTTCAGCAAAATCTCATGATAATACCAATATCCAATATTTCATAAATAAATTTTTTTATAAGATGGTTTAAAAGAAGGATGGTTTAATGAAATAAATTAATTTCAAGACTTCTAAATATTAATCTATAATTTAGAATTTATTATTTTGTTAAATTTTAAATTACCTTTTTAAAAAAGCTACTGTAGCTAAAGTTTTTTTTATTATTGGTAACTGGTATAAGTAATGATTTCAACAGTGAAAAAGTGGTAACTAATATTGAGACATTAGTGAAGGCAGACAGAGCCAACAATAGTAGAAGCATAAAAGGTCTCATGCTACTGTGGCAATTACCACATTTGATTTGATTTGATTTGATTTAATTCAAATATTTGATTTCAAATCAAATTCAAATATAGATTTTTAAATCAAATCAAATTTAAATTGAAAGATCAAATATTTGATTTGATTTGAAAATATTTATAAACATCTAAAATTTGAAGAGTTATAGTTTTAGAAGCTATTTTCTCAAAAATTTATTAAGACAATTGCTAATTTGGTTCTATATAACTAGGGCTATTTTTATTAGAAAAACATTTTTTATTTAATATATAAATAGCTAAAATTTGAAAAGTTATAGTTTCAGAGACTATTTCTCAAAAATTTATTAAGACAATTACTAATTTTGTTCTATGAAACAAGGGTTATTTTGATTAGAAGAACATTTTTTATTTAATTTACAAAATCGATTTATTTAATAAAATTTTAAGAAAATCGAAGATTTTATAAATAGCTAAAATTTAAAGAGTTATAGTTCTAGAAGCTATTTACTCAAAATTTTATTAAGACAATCACTAATTTAGTTCTATCAAACTAGGGTTATTTTGATTAGAAGAACATTTTTTATTTACTTAATAAATTTTAAGAAAATCAAAGATTTTTATAAACAGCTAAAATTTGAAGAGTTATAGTTTCAGAGGCTATTTTCTCAAAATTTTATTAAGACAATCGCTAATTTGGTTCTATGAAACTAGGGTTATTTTGATTAGAAGAACAT